GGGGGGGGGGGCACCAGGTGCCCCGCAGCATTCTGCCGCGCGCCACGCCCCCTCACACCTATACAATGCGGCTACTCGCCCGCTTGCCTTTTATTTCTCCCAGTTTTTATTCTTTTGCCGCTTTCTGGCCTGTTTTCCTGCTTGCGCTGCTCGAGTTAGCTGGAGCAGCAGCAGAGGTGGTAGCTAAGCCAAATTCCCTCTCTCGCTCTCGCCTCGGCTCGTTCACTTCGAGAAGCAGACGCAGTGAAACGTCGTGGCTGACGGCATAAATGCCCGGGAAATGATACGCTGGAAAAGAGAGGGTGACTCGCTGGAGCACCTCCTTCTCCAGGCCCCAGTCGTCTAGTCAAATCAAAGCGCGAGGCCGCGGCGCCGCGGAGCTCCGCGCGGGACAAGTGAACGGGGCCTCGTAAGTGTTGGAATGTGACGCCGACGCCCAAATCTCCCCAAGATTTCCGCAGGCGAAGCAGGAGACGACGATGACGACGACGCCTGGGCCCGCGCCGGAACCTTCAATTTAAATATTTTAACGAGTTGTGGGGGAAGAGAGCTGGTGTCAGGGTTGGGGGTTCCTGGACGGGCGCGGCGGGCTGGACCTCACAGCGAGTAAAGAGAGAACAAAGGGCCCAAGTGCAACGGGGTGCCAGCCGGTGCCACCCCACCCCCGCGGCCCATTGTGGCGCGTGCCGGCCTCTAACGACATAATAACGACAGGAGTGTCACTTTGTCATCAGCTCCGTGCACTCACAAGTCACGAGCATTATTATTATTATTATTGTATGCAGCATTGGCGAATTCCGTAGCGACAACGACGCGGTGGTTGCGTTGGCGGCGGTGCAGCGCGGGCCGAGGGGGGGCACTTGTGGAGGGGAGCTTGGAAAATGACGGGTCATCGAACACCTTTCTCCTTTGTCGAGTCGTTGCCTTCTTAAAAGACCTTACATTACCGTTTTTCTTAATCGGAGGGTTACTATTCTCCTGTAACTACGTATAGTGTCTGCTTAGGACCGTTCTAATCATTTCTAGCCGGACATTGATCGACATACAATCACCACCAGCACTACTAAACTCTACCCGGCCAATTTGACTACTTCGGGCTAGGCCGCGCATATGTGTAGCGCTTTTCTGGTTTGCATCTCCTGCTCTGCTCTGGAGCTATCCTCGCGCTCGGCGGCAGTCATCAGTCACTCAGGGCGTAAGTCCAAACAACAGATGTGAGCATCCAGACGCTCCTCTCTACGACCAGCTGTCCGAGCGAGCGATCGGTTGCCTGCAAATAACTGGCGGATCGATCAGACACCTGCCCCGGGCCTGCACCGGGCCCCGGCAGCTACCGGCAATTTGGACCGACACCTCGACGCGCCGCAAAGGAAGGGACTGTGCTGTGCTGTGTAGAGCTGCTATCTCTCGTTGTTTTTGTTGTTTTCAAACTCTTTCATGATGTTTTTCGTTGTTAGTTTTTTCTTTTTTAAGCGAAAGGCCCTGCTCGTTTGTTATTGTTGCTTACGGAGAAGTCGACGCGGCGCGGCCACGTGCAAGTGTGTGAACACCATAAGCGAGCTGTGCGGAG